CCCGCACAGGCTTAGGTTGCAAGGCCAGCTGCATGAAGTTGTCTGTTCCTCTTCCTGAGACTTGCCGACCATTCCTGTGACCACCCCTCCTCAGGCACAGTAGTCAGGGGCCTGGAGGTTCAAACGACTGGGCTTCCCACGGGCACATTTACCACCGTTCTTGCTAATGGTTCACTTTCCCATTCAATTATATTTTTTGCCTGCAGCTTGTGTATGATGTTTACAACCTGGCCGCTGACTTTGACCGTACCCTTTGCACAGAAAATAACATAAAAGGAAAAGCATTTAAGCGCCCCTCACGAGGCTTGAAAAGCGTGGCATGAAATGGTTTCTCTGTTGAGTATTTCATTCGGGAGCTCAGGCTTGGCGTCTGCGCAGGAGGCTCCTCCTCCCCCGGCTCTCTGGTGCTCTGGGCCTGGCTAGCTGCCTTCCCCTCACTCTGCCCACCCTCCTTTGACTTCTGGTCACACTGCCTGACCTTTCCAGTCCCTTGCCTGTGTGTGTCCAGAGAGAGAGGAGAGTGTAGACATGACAGGCTTGGTTTCCCCATGATTCCTCAAGGTTAGGTCACACAGAGTCCAGGGGATGGGTAAGTGATATGGGGCCATGGGTACTTGGTGTCTTATCTGTGAAGTGGCCAAGGCGGGGGGATCACCTTAGGTCAGGAGTTCGAGACCAGCCCGGCCAACATGGTGGAACCACGTCTCTACTGTAAATACAAAAAGTAGCTGGCCATGGTGGTGCACACCCGTAGTAGTCCCAGCTACTCAGGAGGCTGAGGCAGGAGAATGGCTTGAACCCAAGAAGCAGACATTGTAGTGAGCCAAGATTGCGCCACTGCATTCCAGCCTGGGCCGTAAAGCAAGGCTTTGTCTCAAAATAATAATAATAATAATAATAATAAGGCCGGGGGCAGTGGCTCACACCTGTAATCCCAGCACTTTGGGAGGCCAAGACAGGTGGATCACAAGGTCAGGAGTTCGAGACCAGCCTGGCCAACATAGTGAAACCCTGTCTCTACTTAAGATACAAAAAATTAGCCAGGCATGGTGGCATGCACCTGTAATCCCAGCTAGGAGGCTGAGGCAGGAGAGTTGCTTGAACCCAGGAGGTGGAGGTCGCAGTAAGCTGACATTGCACCATTGCACTTAGCCTAAGTGACAAGGTAAGACTCCAACTAAAAGAAAAAAAAAAAAACAGAAGGAAAGTGAGCGGGAGCAATGCTGTGTTTGCAGAGGAAAAGGAAGGTCAGGTGAGCTCCAACAGTGCCTTTGCTGGGATGCTTCGAGCTACCGACCAGCTTAGTGGAATTCGGAGATCTTGGGGAAAGAAATCAGAGCGGGAAAAGGAGAGAGACAGAAAGAGAAAGGAGGAGAGAGAGAATCGTGTTGGCTGCAGCTCGGGATTTATTTATTGTACTTGCTGTTGATTGAGCCCACTCCGCAGCAGGCGAGGGGCCTGTAAACACACAGGCTGATTCATTAGTTTCTGACCATCTGCTTCCCGGGCCGGGGGAGGGGCCGGAGGGCCCTGTAGGTTGGAGCAGCCCACTTGGAGACCCCATCTCCAGCCAGAGCCAGCTGTGTCAGTCTTCCCAGTGACAGACAGGCCGGGTGCAACTAGGGGTTTTGAGGGATACTTTGCCCCTCCAAACCCCCACCCCGTAGAACCCACCAGGGGCCTGGGCAGGGTAGGGCTAGGCAAGGCAGGCGACAAAGAGAGAGCAGGGAAACGGTGACGTGTGGGGGGCTCAGCAGTTGCGGGTTGACAGGAATACTATCAACACTCAATAGGTGATATGTCAATATCACGGTCATTTTATTAATAGCTAAGTAACATGATACAATAAGTATAATTTAGTGAGTGGTTACTGACGTCCAGGCCCAATATGGAGACCTCACTACACTGTCCCCAGTAAGCACATTAACAACTCTGTGATGGATGATGAGGGAACTAACTGGGTTCAAAGATTGAGTCAAGTCAGGAGGGCCTCCTGGAGGAGGCGCATGTGGGAGGGCTCTGAAAACCAGGAGGAGAGAGGTGGCCCAAGGGGCACAAGCTCTGAGGTAGAAGGGGACAAAGTGGCCGGGGACATGGCACAGCTTCGGTGCTGGGTTGATAAGAGCTTTCTGGGTAGGTGAGGCAGTGTGATGCCACTTGGTATCAGCATACTGAGAAATCAGGCTGGTGGGCCCTCCCCACCAGCATCTGGGAAAGTCATCAAAAACTCACAATTTGGTGCTACCTCCTGAGCCATTCCTACCGACTGTTCCCTCTTCATTCACTTGGGATGAGGCAGGTCTGAGTCAGCTCCAGCTACCATAACAAAGTACCACACGAAGCCACCATTCAGCCCCTAGGAAGGCCCCAGGGGCAGCAGAAGCGGCACTGGGACTTTGGGGAAGGGGTACTGGCTGGGTGCCAGAGCCCAGGTGCAAGCTCCTGGAGCACTGCCCATTGCACCTCCTCCCAAGTGAGACCATCAGAGCCCATTCTGCATCCGGTCTCAGAGCACTCTTCCCGAAGCCGGTTCCCTCACGGATCAAGCCTGCCTCCTCCAGCCCAGCACCTGCCACTCTCTCAGGCCACTGTGCCATCTCCACAGCCTCTCAGTCCCTCATGATTCTGGGCAGCAGCACAGGACAGGGCACGTCTTGCCCAGAGTCACCCAGCCAGAGAGTGAGGAAGCTGGGACCCCCCATGTCCCTCTGCTGTCCTGGAATCGTGTGCTCGCCAGTGATGTGGATACTGCTCTCCAGGTGCTGTCTGCTCTCCAGAAGGCTGGGGCCAGTCCTGCCCTGGCCCAGGCCTCAGTCTCCCCATCTGCTCAAGGAGGTATTGGACTCTATAGTGAGCTCCTGCCACCCTGAGTTTACATGGGGGACTGAGGACAGAGCTATTTGTGTGAAAGAGAGCTTTGCAGAACCTACCTCAATGAAGCAAGGGTCAGCCCTGCCCACCAAGGAGCCCCGGGCAGCTGGGCAACCTGTCCTCCATCCTTGAGGATCAAAGCGCATCGGACTGAGGCTGCTGCAGTCGTACCTGGTGGGGGCCGCGGGGGTGCGGCTTGGCCCCTCAGAAGGCAATGGGCCCCATTGGGGCCCATGGGGGCTGAAAGGCTCATTTGAGAGGGAGAGGTTTTAACTCAGATCCAAGCCATTTTGTCTCTGAGCAAACCAGACACCTGAAATATTCATCAAAAAGGGCCACAGTGGTCTGGGCACTGTGTGGTTGTTAGGAACAGTGTTCTTTTTTTTTTTTAATTAATAGACTTTATATTTTAAAGCAGTTTTAGATTTACAGAAAATTGAGCAGATAGTACAAAAAGTACTTAACACCCATGCCACCCTCCTCCCACCTACGTCTTTCCTCACCTATCACCCACATCTTGCGTTAGGGTGAGATATTTGGGGTTTGGGGGGTTTTCTTTAGAGACAGAGTCTCTGTCATTCAGGCCACAGTCCAGTGGTGCAATCATAGCTCACTGCAGCCTCAAACTCCTGGGCTCAAGCAGTTCTCCAGCCCCAGCCTCCCAAATAGCTGGGACCACAGGTGCACACCACTATGCCCAGCTTATTTTTAAAATTTTTTGTAGATACAGAGTCTCGCTGTGTTGCCCAGGCTGATCTTGAACTCCTAGCCTCAAGCGATCCTCCCACTTCTGCCCACTGAGTAGCTGGGACTACAGGCGTGTGCCACCACACCCAGCTTATTTTTTATTGTTTCCCTACGTTTACCCATTTATCAAATTCAGGATCAGCCAGATGGAAGAGACGAACAGGGTAAAGAATCAGGGAGGGACCCAGAGCTGCCAGGCCCTCTTTAAGCACCTCAGTATGTTCACCTATCCTAAGGGTACTGTTGAAAAGGCTCAGGGGCCAGGTGCCGTGGCTCACATCTGTAATCCCAGCACTTTGGGAGGCCAAGGTGGGTGGATCACCTGAGGTCAGAGTTCAAGACCAGCCTGGCCAACGTGGTTAAACCCTGTTTCTACTAAAAATACAAAAATTAGCCAGGCATGGTGGTGCATACCTATAATCCCAGCTACTCAGGAGGCTGAGGCAGGAGAATCGCTGGAACCTGGGAGGCATAGGTTGCAGTGAGCTGAGATCACCCCACTGTAGTCCATCCTGGGCAACAGAGCAAGACTCCGTCTCAATAAAAAAAAAATAATGGCTGGGCACGGTGGCTCATGCCTGTAATCCCAACACTTTGGGAGGCTGAGGCAGGCAGATCATGAGGTCAGAAGTTCAACTGGCCAACATGGTGAAACCCCATCTCTACTAAAAAATACAAAAATTAGCTGGGCTTTCTGGCTCCTGCCTATAATCCCAGCTACTTGGGAGGCTGAGGTAGGTGAATTGCTTGAATCAGGACCCTGGAGGCGGAGGTTGCAGTGAGCTGAGATTGCACCACTGCACTCCAGCCTGGGCTACAGAGCGAGCCACTATCTTAAAAAATAAATAAAATAAAATAAAAGGCTCTGGAAAGTGACTCAGCTAAGTAGATGTTTAGAGAGTCAAGAACGTGAATGGGAATTTTCAAGGCAGAGAGCAGAAGGGCACATGAAGGAGAGAGAATGCCATCTGCAAAGGCTCAGAGGAGCCACAGGCAGGGGCAGGAGGACAGCTGTCGTGGGGAGGCTCAGGCACAGGTCACCAGGTGTGGGATCAGTATATTACAGAGTCCGGACTTTGTATTCCAGGCAACGGGGAGCCATGGAGTACTTCAGAGCAGGGGACGAACACCCAGTTCTCTTGGTTGTCTGTACTTAGAGTAGAAACAAGTGTGCATTTTCTTGGGACAGCATGGGATTGCACACCTTTGCACGCCTTGGGGAAATGGGCACAAATCCCCCAGCCATGTCTGGGCACCGGAGCACAGGCCCTGTGGTCACAGAGCAGGTGTCTGGGCTCAAAGGCAGGGGCCAGGCTGGGCAGAGGCTTCCCAGGCCGTCCCAAGCATCCAACACCCACCCTTCCCTTCTCTCCCCGCTGCAGGAGAATCCCTACTTGTGTAGCAACGAGTGCGACGCCTCCAACCCGGACCTGGCCCACCCGCCCAGGCTCATGTTCGACAAGGAGGAGGAGGGCCTGGCCACCTACTGGCAGAGCATCACATGGAGCCGCTACCCCAGCCCGCTGGAAGCCAACATCACCCTTTCGTGGAACAAGACCGTGGAGCTGACGGACGACGTGGTGATGACCTTCGAGTATGGCCGGCCCACGGTCATGGTCCTGGAGAAGTCCCTGGACAACGGGCGCACGTGGCAGCCCTACCAGTTCTACGCCGAGGACTGCATGGAGGCCTTCGGCATGTCCGCCCGCCGGGCCCGCGACATGTCGTCCTCCAGCGCCCACCGCGTGCTCTGCACCGAGGAGTACTCACGCTGGGCGGGCTCCAAGAAGGAGAAACACGTGCGCTTCGAGGTGCGGGACCGCTTTGCCATCTTTGCCGGCCCGGACCTGCGCAACATGGACAACCTCTACACGCGGCTGGAGAGCGCCAAGGGCCTCAAGGAGTTCTTCACCCTCACCGACCTGCGCATGCGGCTGCTGCGCCCCGCGCTGGGCGGCACCTATGTGCAGCGGGAGAACCTCTACAAGTACTTCTATGCCATCTCCAACATTGAGGTCATTGGCAGGTAAGGCCTGGGGAAGCCCGGGATGTCACCTGGAACCCGGGATGTGTTCTGTTATCTGGGACGTTAGCGGATACCTGGAATGTTTCCTGATATGAGGAACATTGCCTGGTTCTTGAGATGTTACCTGGTACCTGGGACATTATCTGGTTCTCAAGATGTTACTTGGTTTCCAAGAGGTTACGAGCACCTGGAATATTACCTGGTTCCGGAGACATTACCTGGTGTTACATCATAGGGTCTGCCTAGGATGGCCAGGGCTGCTCAGATCCAATGCATGGGCTTTTCCATGGAAGGAGGTGCATGTGTTAGAGGCGTGGAAGGCAGGAGTGGAGCCTGTCTGTGCAGTGCTGGGCTAACTCCTGGTGCTGCTCTGGCATAAAGTGCCCTTAGGCTGTCCACTGACTCAGTGAGTGGGCTCTCCCATTCCGGGGTTTCCCAGACCACCCTCAGGCTCCATGATTCACTAGAAAATCTCACAGAACTCAGCAAAGCTGCTATATTCACAATTGTGGTTTATGACAATGAAGGATACAGATTAAAATCAGCAATAGGAAAAGGTGCACAAGGCTGGGTCTGGGAGATGCCAGGTGCCAGCTTCTCATTGTCCTCTGCCAGGGAGAGTTGTGCAGGCAGCACTTGATTTTCCCTGCAGTGACATGCGGCAACCCTTGTGAACCATTGCCAGGAAGGGAAGCTTACGGAAGCCTCTGTGTCCAGAGTTTTTATTGGGAGTTGATGGTGTAGGCATTGCTGATGATGTGGCCGGCCTTTGACTCCAATCCCTCCAGAGGTCGAGCTGACACTATATGGCCCAAGGCCCTCCAACAAATCTCATCATCAGCATAGTCTCTCTGATGTGGCCCAAGAACCACAGGCAAACCTGGCCACTCTTCTCAGACAGGACACTCCAAGGGCTTATGGATTAGAGGTCACCTTGCAGGAGCCAGGCCAGAGTCACACCTTTCTTTGAATGTGCAGGGTGTGGCCAACCCAGGCCTGCTGAGACAGCTCTTTCTTGCCCAGCTCTGGAGAAGAATATGTTCTGGGGAAACTTTGAGGAAGGCAGAAAATTGTCATAGGAGATGAAAGCAGCCTTTACCTCCCAAGAACTGTTGAGACTGTGGAGGATGAAATGGTCCTGTGCTGTCCTGGGTCATTTGTTCTTTTGGTGGATAATGTCCTGGTCTTCAGGGGCAACGCCTTCTTCCCTGGGCCATCTGTAGAATGAGGATGGTACAAGCATACTTCTCTCACTGGATTGTGGTGGGGATTAGATGAGTTAAAGTTGGTGAAGCACTCAGAACAGTGCCTGGCACAGAATACATGCTTTAAAAAAGTGTTTAATAAAAAAACTGGTCAAAATAATGGAGTGAGAGGGCTGGGGTGAGCTGAGGGAGGACAGAGTTGAGACCCAAGGGTGCTGGGGCAGCTGGGGCCAGGAGCCTGGCTTAGGCAGGTGCGGGCAGGGGCTGCACCTGGGAATCCCAGCTGGGACCATCACTGTTGGCATCTCTCCACTGCAGCCTCTCGGTGCCCACCCAGATCTGTAATTCCTGACAAGTGGAAAAAGTGATTTGCCATATGGCACATAGAGCATAATCCTGTTTTTATAAAATATGTAATATGCCTTGTGTATCCTTTCTGCGTCTTGAATAGACATTGGCTATAAGTGTGTACAGGACCAGGAGAAACGTCATGAGCTGGGGAGAAAGGCTGGAAGCCCGATTACCAGCCATGTGCTGTGGTGAGGCCTGCGTGGTGAGGCTGGGCAGGACGCTATGATGCTGCTGTTTCCAGCTAGTGTTTGCATTTTGTTTCACGTTGACAATGCATGTGGATTCCAGGTGGGCAAAGGTGAAGGCAGGTCGTTCATGAAGCAGGAGTCAGGTTCAAGTCTGGCAGATGGGAGTGAAACAGGTGCAGACAGGGGCCTGTGGTTCCGACACCCACGATCTCTAACCTGCCTCCAATTGGGACAGGATATTCAAAATCAGGAATGTTCTGGAAACCACCCCATATCAGCCTCTGGGCATCTCTGTGAGCTCTGCCCTCAGGATGCAATTGTCTGGTTGTTACTAGACAGCCCACAGCCCTCGCAATCCCACCAGGCTGGGAACCAGCTCCCCAGGCCTTGCAGGCTCCTGGCCTGTCTTCTGACCTTGGGCTGCTCAGGGAAACCTTAATCTTAAGGCAGCTATTCAAGGACCCTGCCTTCCATCTCATAAGGCGGCCCATGCAGGGCCCTCAGGTCTGGGCCAGCTACAGGGTCCAGACTGGATGGTGACGGTCAGGGCCTGGTGGTGCCCTTTCGACCCCAGCAGGGTGACCTCAGGTTCAAACCCCACCTCTCTGCACCCTGCTTCGATTTCCCATCTGTGACAAGAGGCCTGAGGCTGCCTGGAACCCACGTCTCCCTGTAGGTGGTTCCCCTTGGCACCCAGCCTCTTCGGGCGGCAGGGAGGAGCTGAGGCGGCGGCGAAAGTGTGCAATCAATTCACAGAGAGAGTGAGCACTCTTCAGGCGGGAGCTTAGCTTGTCGTTGGGTTGGGTGGGGTTAGACGGTTCAGACAAGACGGAGGCCTCTTCCCCTTTTCTTTCTTCAGTTCCCCCTGGGAAAGCCCAGCCGTGCTGAGAAGCCAGAGATGCAGGACTGGTGGCAAAGGGTTGTGTGGGACCCCAAGTTCCTGAGAGGGCACCGGGGACCTCTGTGGCTTCCCAGGCTCTGGGATTTCACACTGAACGTGTTCTGGGGATTCCCTCAGAATTTCATGGCTAGCATGTTGCCCAGTGGCTCTGCTGTGGCCCGCTAAGAAGAATGGCAAATGTTTATCGAGCTTTTGCTACGGGCTCGTTTGCTATTGAGCACTGTTATTAATGGCTTCATGTGTATTTTCTTGTTTAATCAATAGCCGTTTAATTCCCCCATGGTTATTGAACGGCTCAGATCCCACGAGCCAAGGACACAGCACTGAGCAAGCCGAACCTGATCCCCGCCCTCTAGAGCTTTCTCTGCAAGGGCAGTGCTCCCCTCAGCCTCATGTTTTCAGATGAGGAGGCCAAGGCCCAGGAGGTCAGGGAATAGAAGGAGATTCCACAGCTCCGCTACATGGCAGATGGACAACACCCAGACCCAAGCATGTCCAGGCTCAAGATGGACTCAGCCACCAAGCTGTGTGGCCCAGTGGCTGCCTCATTTCTGGTCCCAGCTCTGGTTTGAGCCCACCTGGACCTCAGGCAGCCTGCATGATGGGGCAATGCCATAGGACTCATCTTCTGAATTTAAGGTTCTTTGATGGGTGGTGGCTCCCTGCTCTGCCACTCAAGTCAGCTGTTTCCAGCTCCAAGGGGGACCCCAATGGCAGGTAGTGGCGTAGGCAGAAGGGGGAGGACAGAGGCACCTGCCTGTGGAGGAGGAGCTGGAGCAGCTGTAGCCAGCTCAGGGCCCTGGAAAGGAGGGGCTGGTACAAATGGTGAGGGGGACAAGAGGTGGAGACTGACCAAGCTGCAGACCCATGGGGCGGGGGGCAGGTATGGCGGTGGTGGCTCTGAGAAAAGCACAGGCTTCCGCAAGTCCCAGCCACGCCCCTCCCTGCCTCCCTCGGCCTGCTCCACGTGCCCATTCCTGGAAGGCAGGAGGGGGTGGGAGCTATTTTCCCCTTCCACACATGGGAAGACTCAGGTGCAGAGCCTGGAGAGTGGCTGGCTTCAGACTGTGCAGCAAATCTGGGGCAGAATCTGGATTTGAGGAGGAATGAGATCATCTCTTTGTGGTGCTTGGAGCGGGAGGGGCCTCCTCCCCCACCCTCCACACAACCATTAAGAGAAGCCGGGCCCAAGCCTGACCCAGCATCTCCCAGGAGAGCTGTTTAAGACAGGATTCCCCAGCCCCAGCACTGAGAGCTTTGGGACCGGGAGGCGTGGGGTGAGATCGGGAAGGCTGTCTCTTTGCAAAGGTCCTCGAGTGAGCTGGAGAGGTGGAGCCGCCGCATCCATGGAGATGGATGACCTTAACCTGTCGGAACCTCAGTTTTCTCATCTGCAAAATGGAGAAATAGTAATGACCTCAGCTGGCTGTTGTGAAGAGTCAATGAAATGCTGTATTCAGAGAGCTTATCCCAGTATCTCATTCCCCTAGTTAGACAGTGGGAGAGGGAAGGGGGAGAGGCTTGGGGTCAGGACTGCCTAGATAGGAGGCCATCACTGCACCCACCCCAGGTACTAGAGCTTAGAAAAGGAGTGTGAAAGCTTGCCTTCAGGTTCACGGGGGTTGCAGTCCCAAATGTCTAGAGGCTGGGAACACAACTTATGTGGAAGCCAGGCATGGTGGTGTGTGTCTGTAGTCCTTGCTACTTGGGAGGCTGAGGCAGAAGGATTGCTTGAGCCTAGGAGGTTGAGGCTGCAGTGAGTGATGATGGCACCACAGCACTCCAGCCTGGGTGACAGAAACAGATCCTGCCTCTAAAAAAAAATAATAAATTCAAATAAATAATAAAAATAGTGAGAAGAAGGTAATATATATGGGTGATCAGCAGAAGCGATAGGGAAGGGTGTGGTCTGGGGAGAAACAGAGACAGCAGGCCCCTCATAAGACAGCAGACCGAATATTCCAGTTCCGCAGTTACAAAGAGAGGTGCACAGCAGGATCCATATTCAACTCGTTCAGGAGACACCATGCTGTTCTCCATTGCGGCTGCACCATTTTATTCCCACCAGCAATGCATGAAGGTTCCGATTTTTCCACCTCCTTGCCAATACTTGTTATTTCTTGCTTTTCCGATCATAGCCAACCTCATGGGTACATCAATCCATTTCGTTTTCATTGAGATGGGAGGTCTCACTATATTGCCCAGGCTGGTCTTGAACTCTTGGGCTCAAGTGATCCTCCTACCTCAACCTCCCAAAGTGCTAGGATTACAGGCACGAGCCACCACACCCAGCCCTTCCATGTATATCTCAACCTCCTGGCCTCAGTTTCCTCATCTGTGTCATGGGAACAATGA